TTTTTTTTTTTTTTTTTTTTTTGGCCGGTTGTGAGATATATGCATTTTGAACAACCGATCACTGGTACAGAGAGTTAGTACACATACAGTATTGTATACGCAACAACTGCCTTAAACTTAATTTATCAATAAGCCACGAACTAATGTTTCGATGCAAATATGTACAATTTATTGTCTCTAAAGGGTATTTTTGTTAAATGCGTCAGTTTTCAAAATGGTGAAAAACCGACATTTTTAATTAATACATATCAAGTCAACAACAAGTTTGAGTACATTTAATAAAGTCTGTGTATGGTTCTCAGATATGCTATGTATTAACAAATTGCATTGTGTGTCATTTAACGGGAAATTGCTTGACACTTCGATCTACTCCGTCTTACTATTTTCAGATTGCAATGTGTGTCATTCACCAGGAAATGGCTTGTCATTTGGGTTTCCCCACCGTCTTCCCCCCGTCTTCAGTGAAAACAAACGAGTGACATAAGTTACGGACACAGAAAACGGACTTCGTAATCTTTGCAAAATTCTCCACTTGGCTGGTCGCTGTTCTCGCAGACGAACCCTTCAGAGGACGTGCACTTCACTTTGATCACCTGACCCGTCTGATCCCACGGCTGATTGGTTCCTGTCACGCGACACTGGATATCAATTGGTTCATGGCCGGAGCACTTGAAAAAATGAAAGATACCCGTTATGTTGCCATCTGAGTCTAGTACTCCAAAACAGTTTTTGCCAATTACTCGTATATTCATTGCACGTTATGCGAGAAATTTAGACCAAAAATTCTCTAGCCCTTACCCATTGTTTCACATTAGCAACTAAGAGGCCTTGATGGCAATAATAGGTCGCGCCCATTATCATCAGAAGTCAAGGACACAAGAATTCCTTTAGCTAACAATGTCTCTTGTGCTGCTTTGAAACAATAAAAAAAAATTTGAAAAAACGTACGAGCGCACAATAGACAGGTCTGGAATAGTATACAGATGATGCCTATGTATGCAGTAATGGTAGGCATGGAAGTCCATGTGATAAGTACACAGACACATCGGCTCAGAAAGTTCCTTTTAAATACAGTGACGCATCTACAGTAAACAAGGACATGTGCTAAGATCCTCAGTTGAAAAAGGAGGCAATGAAAGTGCTATCAACATTTTAAAACTTGTTATAACACCTAATGTTACCATGAGGACGTCCTAAAAACAAGTCCCATTGTTTTCAGATACATTCACTGATTCCATTGCTCATAGGTATTTGAAACAGTCGGAAATATGCCACTGTATAAATGGGTTGAACATGTTATTGTATAATAAATGTAAGACATATGAAGTCAAAAGACCATAAACATATGACATCATAACTTGGAATTAATAGAAGAGTACGTGTTAGCTAGAATTAAAATTTAATTACCAATTCCTGTACCTACCGGATTAAAGCCCGTTGGTCCCACGTGCTCAGCGTCTCCGTTACCGCTGGGGTTGTCTCTGTCCATCCAGGGAGTCCATTTAGCGCATGCAGGACACGTGCCTGTAAGATATACATACACACATATAAAAGGGAAATTTCTCCACGGCATTGTGAATGAGCAAGTACGTAGATACGGGGGGTCATGGACAAGAGAAAGATGGCATGGATCTGCAATGCATGGTTTGCTGATGCACTTCTTGTCACTTACGAAAGTGTCACACGACTTACCTATGTTTGGACATTTAAAATTCACCTCGTAGTCCTTGCAGGTCTTTCCGTTGACGTCGCTAGTACAGACCAAGCCATTCTCCCAGCTACAGTCGTGGTCGGTATTATACGTGTCTCCTGTTGCATAATAATGGTAGTGGGTGTCTCTGTCGCGACAACGGGCACACATTGGGAGACCACCAATGCATAGATTGACACTGTCATTAACCTGTTATATGAGAATCAAACTTAATGAATATTTTCACCTATATTAACAGACATCGAACAAAAAACGTCATTTTTTCAACACAACACGCCAATTGGACTTTTAGGCATGAACTGAGTTGGCTAAATGCCAGGGGGGCAGTAAGCGGACACGAGGGGGCGAAGCCCCCAGGGGGGAGTGTCCCCCTCCCACGGTGTGGAACGTTTTAAAAAACTCTATGTATAATACTGCATTCTGGTGCATTTTAACTGTTATTTATTGCTCAATCAGAAGTCAGAAATTGTGGGTTCATTTTGCCATAAGTACAGTCATTTTTTCAACACAACACGCCAATTGGACTTTTAGGCATGAACTGAGTTGGCTAAATGCCAGGGGGGCAGTAAGCGGACACGAGGGGGCGAAGCCCCCAGGGGGGAGTGTCCCCCTCCCATGGTGTGGAAAGTTTTAAAAAACTCTATGTATAATACTGCATTCTGGTGCATTTTAACTGTTATTTATTGCTCAATCAGAAGTCAGAAATTGTGGGTTCATTTTGCCATAAGTACAGTCATTTTTTCAACACAACACGCCAATTGGACTTTTAGGCATGAACTGAGTTGGCTAAATGCCAGGGGGGCAGTAAGCGGACACGAGGGGGCGAAGCCCCCAGGGGGGAGTGTCCCCCTCCCATGGTGTGGAAAGTTTTAAAAAACTGTGTGTATAATACTGCATTCTGGTGCATTTTAACTGTTATTTATTGCTCAATCAGAAGTCAGAAATTGTGGGTTCATTTTGCCATAAGTACAGTCATTTTTTCAACACAACACGCCAATTGGACTTTTAGGCATGAACTGAGTTGGCTAAATGCCAGGGGGGCAGTAAGCGGACACGAGGGGGCGAAGCCCCCAGGGGGGAGTGTCCCCCTCCCATGGTGTGGAAAGTTTTAAAAAACTGTGTGTATAATACTGCATTCTGGTGCATTTTAACTGTTATTTATTGCTCAATCAGAAGTCAGAAATTGTGGGTTCATTTTGCCATAAGTACAGTCATTTTTTCAACACAACACGCCAATTGGACTTTTAGGCATGAACTGAGTTGGCTAAATGCCAGGGGGGCAGTAAGCGGACACGAGGGGGCGAAGCCCCCAGGGGGGAGTGTCCCCCTCCCATGGTGTGGAAAGTTTTAAAAAACTGTGTGTATAATACTGCATTCTGGTGCATTTTAACTGTTATTTATTGCTCAATCAGAAGTCAGAAATTGTGGGTTCATTTTGCCATAAGTACAGTCATTTTTTCAACACAACACGCCAATTGGACTTTTAGGCATGAACTGAGTTGGCTAAAAACAGTACACCTTTGTAAACAGATTGTTGAATGATTGTCTAGTGGCCATGAGTGCATTTTCTCACAGAATTGATACCAACTTTGCAATTATTATTTTTTTTACCTTTGCGATTTTTTTTTGCACCTCAAATCCCAGGGGGGAGCAGCTGCCCCCCCCCCCTGCCCCCCCCGGAGGCTACGGCCCTGAGCTACCACAACCTCATTCCCTGATGAAGTCTGACTGCAAGCAGACTAAATATTGGCTGGTAAGACCAGACAAATATAAGTATCTACAGACAAAAGAATCTTTACAAGTCTAGATTAAGTCTGTGAATGAACCGAAGCCAAGCACAGAGACAGGTGACAAAAAAGCACATGATTCTTACCCTGAAAGCCTCAACGTTCTCCCAGTCACCGCTACCGCTTGGATTATCCCTATCTAAGTAGTTTGTCCATGTGCCACCTGCATTGAAGAATGAAGAAAAATGTTATGACAATGAATGATGTCCATTTAACAAAATTCGTCATCCCTGCGATAAAAAGGAGATTAAGAAAACATAATGGTGCTGTAGTTCAAGGCGTTGTTGAAAAAGCAGAAGTTTCAAAACGAGTGAAATTTCTCGTAGTAATGAAGGTCACACCTACTACAAACGTCATAACACTTACTTGTACTTGGGCATAAGTATCTTATCTCATAGTCTGCGCAGTTTCCGTCGGCTTGCTGGGAGTTGCGGCACACCAAACCTTTAGTTGGTAAACAGTGGACCTCCAATATATCTGGAGCTGTCCCAGACCAGCGAGTGAACGTACTGGTTGACCCCTTCACGCGACACTCCGCCGCGATGGGTTTACATCCGCAACAGACGTAATCTAGTTTCTAAAATAAAGTGGCAGATCAATTTGACTTTTTACCTTTTAATTGACCACTCTATTGGCAGAGGTCCTCCACATTACCCCTTGCGAACGCTCTATCTCTTCCTCTCGTTTTCATTCTTGCAGTCTCATTTTGATATTGCTTTACATTTTTCGAACTCCAGTGTATTGATAGAACAATGATCTCACCCAACAAAGTTACATTCATACATTTATTTTAGCCTTTCCTCTAATACCCCCGTCACACTTATTCGGTATCAGCAGGAATGAAGAAGAATGAGCCTGAACGAAGAAATTTTAAAATTTGCACCTCGTTCGGGGAAAAATGTCAAATTGAACTTAATTATTGTAAGAGTACCTTTGGAATACTCAGAATGCGCTTGAATAATGAGTGCACTTTCGACTGTATTAGCTCTCAAAAGCTGTCCGAATGTAGTTGGAAAAGTAGGAATATTTATAATGCTGTAAGAAGGCAGTAAGAATATTTAGAATATACTTTGAACGGCGCACTAGTGTAGCTCGATTGCTGGCAACATTAATATTTCAGCTCATCCGAGGCACATTCGAAACATTCTGGCGGGATATAAAATCCCCGTCACACTAGATGCGGAATGATTAAGAATGGCGTCTGAAATACAATTCTTTGTGCATTCCAGGTTATTCGAAGAGCATTCTAAAAACATTCTAAAAATTCTGAGTGCATTCCAAATATTTTTACCCATTCTTGTGGCCGGCTCGAATGTTTTTATCATGTCAAAAACTTTCGAAGTGCATTCCAAGAGGAAATTTATCGCAATATCCCTACAGTATTCCAACTACATTCGAGCTGCATTTGAGAGGTAATATACCTGGAATGTGCAAGAATCATTCCAGGCGAGTTCGATGTGCATTCTTAGTATTCCACAGGCATTCTTACAAAGCCGTAAAATTTTATGATAATTTGAAATTCCCTCCCGAATATTCCGGCCTGATTCTTACTGATTTCGAATAAGTTTGACGGGGGCTTTAAGTCACTTGTCAGTTCGAATATTCCTCTAATATGATCAGAATGTTTCGAATGCTATCGGAATGCCGTGAGAATATTTAGAATGCAGTCATAGTGCAGTTAGAATACTGTTCAAATGCCATTCGATAAATTTCAACTTGATATGCACTTCGAAAGTTTTTGACATGACAAAAACATTCGGGATGCCACAAGAATGGGTAAAGATATTTAGAATGCACTCGGAATTTTTAGAATGCTCTTCGAATATCCAGGAGCGCACAAAGAATTGTCTTTCCGACGGCATTCTTGCTCATTCCGCCTCTAGTGTGGCGGGGGCATAATCAAACGACTTACCAGTTAGGATTGACATTTTTCTCACCTTTTGTTCTGTAATATGTTCATGATCCCCGTAATCAGAAGGATTGTCTCGATCATACCAACCGGTCCAATAATGTCCTGAGAAAATAAAGACAGTTAGCAGTCACATTTATCTGCAGTAAGATATCTTGATATCTTGAGGGATTATTTCTACTTCCTAATTATACAAGTATAAATGTTCAAACCACTTTTTCATTTCTTCCCGAACGAAAATGACATGTTCCTATTGCAAGTTCTAGTAAAATAAAGTTCACTGGGAAAACAGTACATGCTGTATAGTATCCGAGATATAATCGCAGACAATCTTCTAAGCCAACAACAAAAAAAACCTGTACCCTCCCTCAAGATTACTCTTAAGGCGCTTGATCTTCATGTATCTAAACAATGATTTTCCTGAAAGTTGTTTTCTTAAACACCAAGGTGTGTCATATCCAAAACCGATGACAACACTACGATAAGTAAATCGGTTTTTTATTATTTATTTTAAGGGTACAGTTGCAGTGGAAGCGAGGACCTTTGAATTTCACTTGTAACAGTGAAAGTTAATAATTAAGACAGTGTTCCCATACCTAGATCGATCTAACTGGATCGATCCATCTCCAAGGGGGTTCTCGGTAAATTGCTTTCAGCTTAAGTAGTGTAGATGTATGGCACGCCTACTGAAGCTGCTAAACGATAATTAATTACCCCCTAGAAGCTTGAATAGGCGTGACAGACATCTAAGCCGCTTAAGTTTATTGCAATTTTGCGAGAATCCCCTTGGAGATAGATTGATCCAAAGTTAGTACGATAGGGTCTGGGAATGGTCCCAAGAAATTCTTGAATGGTATTTAATAGTATGCTGTATATGTAGAGGTATAACGAGGCAATACATGGAAAATTGCTGGAATTTCCACATGTACCAGGAATGTTCGTTTTGTTTGCTACATCATTCTATAACTTGCAGTATACTAGCTTGTATATAATGTTTGTTCGGGTGTAATGTCAACAAAACGCTGCCTCTTACCTTGGATAGACTTTAAAGTCAGAAAACACGAAAACACAAAGGGCATCAAATTCATGTTATACCTGAAAGATGTAACAATATTTTACACTAGAAGGCCATTTACCATGACGGTTATCTATCACACTTATTCAGTGACTTTATTCTAACTTATAATTTATATTCCATGTAACCGTACGCTGGGGCGGTGGGGGGGGTGAATGCCCTTTGTGCGCTTTTGAAAAAAATAAAAATAATGGTCCAAATTGCTGTCATAGGTTATCATTCTTCAATGTACACCTTGTGCTCTCTGAAAAGGGAGTGGTCTGGAAAAAATCTACTCTAAAAAAATGATAAGAAGAATGGCCTCTAAGGAAATAAATCCTAACGTACGGAACCCTGTTAAGTACACACAGGCCTGGGCAGTTATGAAATAACAAAACTTGAATCGAGCTGCTTCCATTTTTTAAAGGGTGAAAAAAATACCCATTTAATGCTACTCTTCTCTTTTTAGAATCATCATGTCTTTTCTTTAGTTACTCACAGTGACCCCTGTTTGCATACATTCATATGGGAACACGTGATCTGAATTTCAAAGACATCATTTACTCACGATTGCCGTTGGAACATAACAATATACTATTTATGAGGTCTTATCGAAACCAAAAATACAAATATGTAACCATCTTTTTGAGTTAAAAAGAAATAAACTTGTGCTGGCAATTTTATTTGTTTTTTATGCGTTTCATAGGCCATTGAAACATTTAATATAAAACAATTCACAGTTGCATGTTTTGAATAAACGACAACAAAAGCCAAATATTTTTATTGACCTTTTGATGCTTATATTTAAAAATTGTTTTAAATAGCGTTAAGGCTGCTATTCCGTGCTCCTTCTTACACGCCACTGGATATCAATAGATGAATCCATTGCAAGACTATTATTTTGATTTCTTAAGCATGAGTGTACATCAAGGAAAACAAGGCACTGCGTTTGATTAATTAATTTACTGCTACTACCTCTGCTTCTACTATTATTACTACCATCATTGATAATAATATAAATAATAATTAGTGATAGTACAAGTACGTTGGAAACAAGAGGAGGCGTGTTAATCTGTTAAACTGGTTACATTCAGCGAGAGTCCCCACGAAGTTGGATCGATCTAATTTCAATGGGAATGAGTCCTTAAAGTGTGACGAGTGTGGCATGATAATGCATTGTCTTCCATGGCATTGGATAGCTGGTTTTGACTGATGACAACATGGAGAACAAAATTTGCATTCTTGATTGGTCATTTCAAATTAAGGTTGCTTTGCTTGTAGTGTGCAAGATAACCAGTTTGAACAGAAACAGTCCACAGCATTCAGGAAGACCATACAACACCATACATGTACACGTTTGTGGATATAACACTCATAGTACATGTACGCCATTCAGTCATACAAGACAAAGCATTTTCACATCTCACACTAACGTTGTTCTGCCTACCTTCATGCTTACCTGCAATCGGCAATAACTACAATAAAGTTATGGAAACTGATAAATATTTTGTTGATCTACAAACAACAATACCTGTACAAATGCCGGTTAAGAAAAAGGAAAATGCTTAAGATAGTTATAAATTGGAACACTTGCCCGTTACTTCTGCGGCGTGCCCACGTCGAGTTTTTGCTTGAATTAACAGCGTTTTCTGGATAACATCAAATTATACACGTTCTTAATTGCGTAAAAGGGTGTCATATCGTCCTTACAACTGAAAAACACCTCGGGTTAATTTGAATTAGAAAGACATGATCTAATTCATAAGTACCTGCAACCCTTCATCATAACGCAATTAATTTAATTTATAAGCTGATGTCGTTGCCAAACTTTTAAAGTAGGTTGAAAATGTTTATTTAATAGCTGTGGAAAAAGCAACGTTCCCTGCTGGGGTCCAGTTTTCAATAAAAAGCAAAATCGTCTATCCATTCTTGCTTGACCGTCAGCCTGTTTAACTTGATGTCGTCCAGGGACAAAACCTTTGGTCTGCCATGCAAATGACCAACTCTTGCAGCATATATATGTTTTCGAAATGTCTTTGGCAGATAAAACCGTTCTATTGTCAGTTATGCGTGGTATTTAAAAAACTAAAAAAAAACTATATGATGTCATTGTTATTTGCAAACGAAAAATTAATCGACATGTTCGACAAATCACCGTCACTGAACTTTTGAATAGCGTGCAAGAATTTCCAGAATACTGCAGATTTTGACGATGTGACCAAATGTCGGGCAAGGGAAGGCAAAACCTGCAGACTCTTTATTTCTATTTAGAACAAACTCACTTATGATCGAAGCATAAATATATAAGCGATGAACTAATGCTTCAATGCAAAGCAGTACAATTTACCTGTATTGTCCTTAAATGGCACTATTGTTAAATGCGTCACCTTACAAAATGGTGAAGAACCGAAATTTTAAATCAATGCATAGCAATAGTCAGCAAAAAGTTTTACGTACATTTGATAAAGCAATTCTGTTTACATTTTTCAGATATACTATTTTCAGATTGCAATGTGTGTCATTCACCAGGAAATGGGCTTGTCATTTGGGTTTCCCCCGTCTTCAAGATGCTCAGTGAAAACATATGAGTGAGACAAGTTACGGACACAGAAAACGGACTTCGTAATCTTTACAATATTGTCCACTCGGCTGGTCGCGGTTCTCGCAGACGAACCCTTCAGAGGGCGTGCACTTCACTTTGATCACCTGACCCGTCTGATCCCACGGCTGATTGGTTCCCCTCACGCGGCACTGGATATCAATTGGTTCATGGCCGGAGCACTTGAAAAAAATAAAGAAGACGTGTTCGCTACCATCTGAGTCAAGACCCACAATAGCATTTTTCTGTCCTTTTCTCGTATATTCGTTGAACGGTATGCAAAAACTTTAGCCCAAAAAAATCCCTAGCCATTACCCATTTTTCTCAACTTTAATAAAATGAAAAAGGGGTGCATCAGCCACCAACAGGCCTTGATGGCAATAATAGGTAGCATCCAATATAAAGCTTTGAAACAAAACGAAACGTATGTTCCCATATGGACACGCCCTAATGTATCTCACTTCCACTGACTTCATTGTAGTGCTATAAAATTGTAGTAAATTTGCCACTGTATGAAGGGTTAAACATGTTATTGTGTAATAAATGCAAGGCATGAAGGCAACAATCTTTATTACGTGTTATCATAACATGGAATTAACTGAAAACAACGTGTAAGCCAGGATTATAATGTATATTTAGCAATTCTTTAACCTACCGGATTAAAGCCTGTTGGCCCCACGTGCTCAGCATCTCCGTTACCGCTGGGGTTGTCTCTGTCCATCCAGGGAGTCCACTTAGCGCATGCAGGACACGTGCCTGTGAGATATAGATTTTAAAGTAATACACAGAACTTCAACAAAATAGATACATACATGCATACATACTAATTATTACATGCACATTTAGTGTTACAGAAAAAAATGAAAAGCAAAACACAAAAGGACATATTCACCCATTCATAAAGGCTACAATTACGTACAGAGCGCAGGAACAAGACTGACTACACGCTCAAACATACGAAGTTAACTAACTGTAAGAAATTTTACAGCATAGCGGCCATTTGCCTTCGGTGTGAATGAAAGCGTGTAAAGTGAGGTTATGTATCTGTTTATTTGTACGTTTTTTTCTCTGGCACATAAACCCCCCAAAACATTACCCCACCCAACAGTAACACAAACAGACGTTTGCTTGCGCGCGCACTCACGCGGACACACAGACACACACGCACACATTAGTCTACAAGGAAATTTCTCCACGACATAGTGAAAGAGCAAACACGTACATATGGAAGGCCTCATGGACACGAGAAAGATGATATGGAACTCCAAAGCATGAATTGCTGATACACTAGCTTCTCCTGGCCTCCTTTGACTACTTACCTACGTCTGGGCATTTAAACTTCACTTCGTAGTCCTTGCAGTATTTCCCGTTGACGTCTCTGGTACAGACCAAGCCATTCTCCCAGCTACAGTCGTGGTCGGTATTGTACGTGTCTCCAGTTGCATAGTAATGGTAGCGGGTGTCTCTATCGCGACACCGGGCACACATTGGGCGACCACCATTGCATAGATTGACACCGTCATCAACCTGAAAAATGAGAACTATAATGAATATTAAAAAAAAAATATATATATATATATATATATATATATATATATATATATATATATATATATATATATATATTTTTTTTTTTTTTTTTTTCCACGGACATCAAACTAAAAAATTCGAAGAGACAGATTCATAGGCAAGAATGTTTTAATAACGGAAGTGATCAACGTTAAACGTCCATACCAAGGTGGCTTGAGTGTTATTGACAAAATTGATGTGTGTGAGAGTGGGCAACCTCGACAAATTCCGGCCCATGAAGGGGCAGATGACATGACATCCTGTGCAAAGTTACTAACGTGGTGTTCGCAGTCAGTATATAATCTGAACGTGAGATGGCATTTCTTCGGTACTAATTAACTGCAAGTAATTGACCAGTGTGCATTTAGAGGCTCATTGATCTGAAGGTTCAATAGCAATTGTCATCAAAAAGTTAGAACGTTTGCGGAGAGCATTCACTATTTCTTTCAGGCCTACTTAATTTCCAGAGGAGTGTACCGGGTACCGGAATCAAAATTGGCAAACACACTGTGTATATATATATATATGCGCATTTACCTTGAACGTGTATATAAAACCTGTATTCATTTTCCCGTAAAATTAAATAAAGAGTATGAATGAACTAAATTCAAACATGTTAGAAGACAGGTGACAGTAGCAAAAATAGAACGTGATCATTACGTGGTGATTCTCACCCTGAAAGCCTTAACGTTCTCCCAGTCACCGGTACCGCTTGGGTTATCCCTATCTAGGTAGTTTGTCCACGTACCACCTGGAAAAAAAGAACGAGAAAAATATATAACGAAAAAATATGATGACCAGACAACAAATCCTTCCTACAATACAAAAAAAGAGATTAAGAAAAGATAATGTCGCAGTACAGCAAGGTGTCCTTTAAATAAAACATAAGTTTCAAAGAGATGAAATCATTCGTAGCATTTCACAGATAAAGTCACACTTACACCAATCCCCACAAAACTTACTTGTACTTGGGCACAAGTATCGTATCTCATAGTCTGCGCAGTATCCGTCGGCTTGCTGGGAGTTGCGACACACCAAACCTTGTGTTGGTAAACAGTGGACCTCCAGTCTATCTGGAGCTGTTCCGGACCATCGCGTGAACGTTCTGGTTGACCCCTTTGCGCGACACTCTGCTCCGATGGGTTTACATCCACCACAGATGTAACCTAGTTTCTAAGTGAAAGTGATAGATGAATTTAACTTTTTCTTTTTAATTGATCACCCTAAATGTCGAGTTTCTCCACTTTTCTCTTTGCCTCTCCATTCTTGCATTCTTATAATGATATTATTTATCACTTTTTTCCGAACTCCAGTGAAATCTCAGTAGCATAATTTCAACCAACCGAGTTACATTCATCTATTTATTTTAGCCTTTCCTCTAATCAAACGACTTAGCAGCCAGAAGTGAAGATTTTTCTCACCTTTTGCTCTGTAATATGTTCATGATCCCCATAACCTGAGGGATTGTCTCGGTCATACCAACCGGTCCAATAATGTCCTTGGGAAATAAAGACAATTAGCAGTCACAGTTCACTTCAGTAACTTCAGCAAGATATTGAGTGACGTACATTATTCAGACTAACGTCTAACAAAATGCAATTTACGTCTGTTCCTTGCGCCTACAACAATGTAACAGCATTAAATAATATGTAGTTCCTAATATAGAAGTATACAAGTGCAGACAACTTTTTCTTTCCTTCTCGAACGAATGATGATATGTTTTATTATTTCAAATTCGAGCAGAAATACAGTTCGGTGATAAAAATATATATTATGGATAATATCCCAAAGATTTAACTAAACTGGCATGGTATACGTGTATATAATGTATCAAGAGGTGAGATATGTCAGCAAAACGCTGCCTCTTACCTTGGATAGAATGTAAAGTCAGAAAACACGAAAACACAAAGGGCATCAAATTCATGTTATACCTGAAAGATGAAACAATGTCTTAGTGCAGAAGACCATTTTCCATGACAGTTATCTCTCTATCACCTATTTCATGACATAATTCTTACCTATAATCTACATAACATACAACCCTAAGCTGGGGGGCGGCATTGCCCTTTGTACGCTTTAGAAATATAATAGAAATTATGATCCAAATTGCTGTCAAAGATCATCATTCTTTTGACCTTGTACTGTCTGAAGGAAGGGAAGTCTGGAAAAAGTCTACTCTTTGTAGACTTGTGAAAATTGTGATAAAAATGGATGACCCCCGAAGGCCTGGTAATGTTAGTTAACTACAAAACTTGACTCCAGTTATCTTAAGTTTTTTTTTTTTTTTTAACAAAGTGTGAACACATATATCTCTGCAATGCTACTCTTGTATGTGCAGAATCATGTCTTATTTCACTTTCCTTACCCATCAACACTAACAACCTAATAGAAAACAACCTAATTAACTCTTATTTCTCACCATTTGTTACCAACAAAAACGCCGTTTGCATACATTTATGAAGTTTTAACCATTGGGGACACGTGATCTGAATTTCAAAGACATCGTATTAAGCTTGAATGTCATTGAAACACAACAAATGTCTATTTATGAGGTCTTATCTTAACCTAGATTACAAACATATTACCATCATTTAAAGTAAAGTAAAAAAAGAAATAAAACCGGGTTATTTAATTGCTTCTGTGCATTTTACGTCCCCGCCGAAAACACAGAAACATCCAAATGCGACGGTACACCAATCAACAGTTGCATGTTTTGGATAAACAACATCACAACCAATGATAAACTTAACTTATGACTGTAATTATATTTTTAAAAAATTACTTTAAAACAATAGTAAGGCTGCTTCGCCGTGCGCTCTTACACATCATTGGATATAGGTAGACGAACCCGTTTTCAAGAGTATACCGCGTGCATGGTACGATACTCAGTTTAATTAATTAATTAATTATTTTTATTAAAGAATTTGCTACTAATAATAATGATAACTATGGTTACAAAAAAGTATAATAAAATGCAGCGCAAAGTTCATTTTTGAACAGGGGGTCTACCACACACAATGTTCACTGTGTATTGAACTTTGTATATATTATATAGAATTGCTCAAGAACAATGTAAAAAGGTTGTTTCGGACTCACATGTGACCATACCTATAGGTATTGACAGTGATATGTGCAGTGTGACTACGTGACGTGAGCTTACAAATTAATGAAGGTGTGAAATCCAGGGGCGGATCCAGAGATATTTTCTGACAGGTTTCGAATTATCTTTATCGATCCATCCTACATTTTTGACCGTCTTCCGACAGAAAAAAATTACATACCCATCATTATAAACTTGAAAATCTGACCGTTTTTCGGAAGACCCAGAAGATCCGCCCCTGAAATCGTACCTCCAGTGGTGAAAGGCGAGTGTATAAGCCGAATCACCGTTCGATACTTTCCGTTTTCTTAAACTGTTCGGAAAAAGATTTCAGAGAGGTGTCATTCCAATGAAAATGTCTCGCAGTGACCGACCAAGGAACAAAACAAGGTGAGGTTATAGGTGTCCTGTTTTACTCCCTTAATTACAGGGGATGTAGATTTTGGGAACAAATTAACAAGTCAAAACCTGGGGACACTTATTTTGTCAGGACAAGAAGACTAAAGATTTTGACATGTTATGAAATTCACTCATGGTGCTGAGACACCATTCACCGCAAGTCATAAAAGATAAAGCACTTTTCATCCCTCACACTAACATTTTACTGGTATTTCTCCGTTGTTCTCCAACAATGCTTACCTATAATCTACAAAAACTAAAATGAAGCCATGAAAACTGATTAATGTTTTTGTTTATGTAAAAACAACAATACCTGTACAAATGATGGTTTAGAAAAAGGAAAAAAATGCGTATTAAAGTTTTAACCTGAAAACTTGCCCCTTACCTCAGCGGAGTGTCCTCGTCCACTTTTTGCTTGAATTAACAACGTCGTCTTCTGATGGATTACCCAAGATAACATCAATTTTTTACACGATCTTAATTACGTAAGTGGGTGTAATGTCGGCCTTACAACTGAAAAACACCTGGGGATAATTTGAATTAAAAAGACATGATCTTTTCCATAAGTACCTGCAACCCTTCATCAGAACGCGATTAATTTTATTTATAAGCTGATATCTTTGCCAAACCTTTATATAATTGTGTTTAATTCCACGCATTGCATTAGGGGTGACACTTATTTTGGCAGGAGATTATATATTGTTTTTCTTGTTTGGGAAAGGGTAAAATGGGAAGGGAGAGGCTAAGGGAGCAATGTGGTATAGTGTGTTAGTAGTACTTCCGGGACGTAAAAAATAGAAATAAATAAATAAAAATAAAAAAAAACGCAATTAGATATTGGATAGAAAGGCGTGGTCTTTATTGTTTATTGAAACTCTCATCATTATCTTATTTTAACTTTCAAGTCTGATCTGAAAACATTGTAGGGTTTTATTCAGTGGCCGATTGTCTGGAATATTATCTGCAGTCAAGTGTAGTTATGGGGTGTCGTTCTTGTATACAACATACTGTTTTAGCTGCCAACAGTTAATAAGGCCTCCATACCTTTTGAATGATGAAGTTGATTTATCAAACTTTCCTATTACTGGTAGAAAAAAAAATGAGTTGAAGCCCCAAAACATTGTTATTTCACAAATATGGCATTTTACCACTAAAACGCGTTAAGTGATAAGATTCCATATTTCGACAAACAACTTGTTTCCAAGGGTAAAAGTCTTTCCCACATTGTCTTATGCTAAATAGCTGAAATCCTGTAACACTCGTTAACTAAACCAAAAAAAAGGCGGGTACATCCCATTTTTTTCCAACAGTTAACCCATTCATTGGTATGATTCCACGTTTTCGGTGAAAATTAAATCCCTGTGGCAAAATGATATTTCTTAAATTGGACTCGATATCGCATTCGATCCAGTCAATTGTCCCTTTACCAAACATTTTAATCAACACTTGTTAAGTTGGTGAGCTGTGGAAAGGGCTGATACGTGTTACATAAACTGCTGCATTTTCGGCATTATAATATTGTCATTCATTGATATAAATATATTCTACCAGACCCACCAAGATTTGAATATTCACTGGCTGTGGATTTTTCTGTTCTATTGGCGAGGGATTTTGAACAACAATATTAATAAAAACATCTTCCAACCGCCCGCTGCTAGAGGTAGTGAGTATATATGTAGTATACGCCATAGCCGTTTTTTTACATTACTTTTATCAATAAACGATGAACTAATGCTTCGATGCAAAGAAGTGCAATTTATTGTCCTTAAATGGTACTTTATTTAAATGCGTCAGTTTTAAAATTTGTAAAGAACCTAAATTTTTAATCAATGCATAGCGAGTCAACAGAGAGTTTTGGGTACATGTAATAAAGCAATTCTGTAAGCGTTTCTCAGATATACTAAATTCAGGTTGCATTGTGTGTCATTCACCAGGATATCGCTTGTCATTTTCCACAGTGAGTACATACTGAACTAGTGAGCCAAATTACGGACAAAGGAAACGGACTTCGTAATCGAAGCAAATTTGTCCACTCGGCTGGTCGCCGTTCTCGCAGACGAACCCTTCAGAGGGCGTGCACTTCACTTTGATCACCTGACCCGTCCGATCCCACGGCACATTAGTTCCCCTCGTGCGGCACTGGATGTCAATTGGTTCATGTCCAGAGCACTTGAAAAATTAAAGAAGACGTGTTTGTTACCATCTGCGTCAAGGCCCACAATAGCATTTCTCTGCCCTTTACTCGTATATAAATGAAACGTTATGCGACTACTTAAGTCCAAATACATTTCCTAGTCACCATCCATTTCTCTCAACTCTAATACTATGGCAAAGGGGCGCGCAGTCGCCAACTGGCCTCGATGGCAATAATAGGTAGCATCCAATATTATCAGAAGACAAATACACAAGCACTTATATTCCTTTAGTTAATAATGCCACATGTGAAGCTTTGAAAAAAAAACGAAATCGTATAGGTATATAATGATGATCACAACAAAGTAGTTTTTATATCTCGTATCTCCATAAAATATGCTAATGCGTAAGACGTAAGAAAAGTTTTATGGTCGTACAATGAACCGGGCTGGCCATGAATAGCACACAGATAATACCAGTGTGACAGGAATGATGGGCCTGCGTATGGAAGTTCAGGTCCCATATGGTTAGTACAGGTTATAAGGGTTAGTCAGAGTATTGGGGTAAGTGTATGGGAGGGATATTAACTGTACAGAATGGGGAACAGACCACCGTTCCTATCGTACTACCATCCCTGTCACATCGGGTACGTAGTTCCTTTAAAACACATTGGTGTTTCTAGACTAAGCTATGCATTTGCCAAGATCCTCCATTGAAGAGGGAGACGAAGAATGTGTTATCAACATTTTAAAACATGTTATAACACGTAATGTTCCCATATGGACACGCCCTAAAAACAACTTTATATCTCACTCCCACTGATTCCGTTGCAGTGCTATAAAAATGTCAAATATATGCCACTGTATAAAAGGGCTAAATATGTTATCATGTAATAAACATGAATAGACATGAAGGCTGCAACAACCATTATAATGTATCATCATAACATTGACTTAACCGAGAACAACGTGTGAGCTAGGATTATGGTTTATTCCCCAATTAATGTACCTACCGGATTAAAGCCCGTTGGTCCCACGTGCTCAGAGTCCCCGTTAACGATGGGGTCATCTCTGTCCATCCAGATAGTCCACTTTGCGCATGCAGCGCATATCCCTGTCTGATACTGATCTTCAAGTAATATATATAATAAACATTTCAACAAAACATACATCCATACGGTTTTTGAGAGACGGATAAATGAAAAGCAAAACACAAATAGACATAACTTCACCCATTCATAAAGGCTGAGGTCACGCACAGAGCACGAGACTGACTATCAGCTCAAATACACAAATTAACTATTGTAAGCTACAAAGATTTTAGATATTTTAGACGCAGAGCGGCCACTTAATTTTGGTATGAATAAAATCTTGTGTGTAGAGTGAGGTTTTATGTCTGTTTACAGGCCTGTAGCCAGCAATTTCAAAAGGGGGGGATCTTTTTCTAAAAAAGTGGACCATTTCTCATAAAAAACTCATGTACCTAGATCAAATTTTACCCAGAGTGGACCTTTTCCCAGCAAAAGGGGTCGTTCTTTAGAACCACCCGAACCCCCCTGACTACGGGCGTGGTTTATGTGTATGGTTTTTTTCTCTAGCACACTACACCACTTAAAACACCACCCAACCATCCAAAAGTTACACACATGCGCTCGTGCCAGCGCGTGCGCACGCACACAGACCTTCACACACCGTACACACATCAATTTCGTCTACAGGGAAATTTCTCCACGACATTGTGAAGAAGCAAATACGTAGGTATGGAGGGCCTTATGGACACGAGAAAGATGGCATGGATATGCAATGCATTTTTTGCTGATGCACTTCTCCTGGCTTCTTTCGACGACTTACCTATGTTTGGACATTTAAAATTCACCTCGTAGTCCTTGCAGATCTTCACGTTGACTTCTCTAGTACAGACCAAGCCATTCTCCCAGTTACAGTCGTGGTCGGTATTGTACGCATCTCCAGTTGCATAATAATGGTAGTGGCTCACTCTGTCGCGACAACGGGTGCACAATGGGCGAGCACCATTGCAAATATTGACGTTGTCATCTTCCTGAAATATGAAAATTATAGTGAATATTAAAAAAAAACTACATCAAAGAAAAAAACTCGAAGAGACAGATTCAATGACATCTAGGCAGTAAGTGATAAACGTCTTCACGCCCATACCAAGGTGGCTTGGTGTTATTAACATAATTTATGTGTGTGAGGGGGGAGTGGACGGGGGCAACCTCGACAAAATCAGGCCCAGGTGACATGACGTCCTGTGCGAAGTTACTAACTTGATGTTCGCAGTCAGTATTCATATAATCTGAACTTGATATCGCATTTTTTTCGGTACTAATTAACTGCAAGTAACAGACCAGTATGTACTTGGAGGTTCATTGATCTGAAAGTTCAACAGCAATGCCATCAAAAAAGTTAGAACGTTTGCGCAGATGGTGTTCGATAAAAACAGTATTCACATTTCTTGCAGGCCAACTGAATTTCCAGAGGAATGTACCGGGTACCTTTTAACCATTCTCCTTTTTACCTATGGAATCAAAATCGGCAAACGCCCTGTGTATAGATGTGCATTTATCTGGAACGTGTAAAGTTGACCTTACATAAAGCCTGTATTCATCTCCCCGTAATATTAAATAAAGATTGTGAATGAACTAAATTCAAACACGTTAGAAGACAGGTGACAGTAGCAAAAATAGCACGTGATCATCACGTGGTGATCCTCACCCTGAAAGCCTTAACGTTCTCCCAGTCACCGGTACCGTCTGGATCATCCCTATCTAGGTAGTTTGTCCACGTACCACCTGGATAAAAGAACGTAAAAAATATGTTAGGAAAAATATAATGATGATCAGACAATAAATTATTCCTACAATACAAAAAAAAAAGAGATTAAGAAAAGATAGTGGTGCAGTGCATCAAGGCGCCCTTGTAATAAAAAAGAAAACAGTTTTAAAAGGGGTGAAAAAAGGGGTGAATTTACTTGTAGCAATTCATAAAGAAGGTCAAACCTACCACAATCCCCACAGAACTTACTTGTACTTGGGCACAAGTATCTTATCTCATAGTCTGCGCAGGACCCGTCGGCTTGCTGCGAGTTGAGACACACCAGACCTTGTGTTGGTAAACAGTATACATCCAATCTATCGGGAGCAGTTTGGGACCAGCGAGTGAACGTTCTGCCTGATCCCCTCACGCGACACTCTGCTCCGATGGGTTTACATCCGCCACAGACGTAACCTAGTTTCTAAGTAAAAGTGACAGATGGATTTTAGTTTTTTCTTCTTTATTGAACACCCTTAATGTCGAGGTTCTCCACTTTTCTCTTTGCAAACGCTCGCTCTCTTCCCCTCTTTCCCATTCTTGCATTCTTATGTCATGATATTATTTTACATTTTTCCGAACTCCAGTGTAATCACAGAAGCATAATCTCAACCAATCGAGTTACATTCATCCATTTATTTTAGCCTTTCCTCTTATCAAACGACTTACTAGTCGAAAGTGAAGTTTTTTCTCACCTTTTGTTCTGTAAGATGTTCATTATCCGCAGAACCAGAAGGATTGTCTCGGTCATACCAACCGGTCCAATAATGTCCTGGGGAATTAAAGACAATTGACAGTCACAGTTAACTTCGGAAAGATATCTTGAGTGACGTACATTAAAGTCTCGACAAAATGCAATTTATGTCTGTTCCTTGCGTCTACAGCAATGTAACAGTAATTAATTATATCTAGTTCCTAAAACGTGTAAAAGTATGCATGTGCAGACAACTTTTTCTTTCCATCTCGAACGAATGATGATATGTTTTATTATTTCTAGTTCGAGTAGAAATACAGTTCGGTGATAAAAATGTATATTATTGATAATATCCCAAAGATTTCACTAAACTGGCATGGTATACGTGTATATGATGTATGAAGACGTGAGATATGTCAGCAAAACGCTGCCTCTTACCTTGGATAGAATGTAAAGTCAGAAAACACGAAAACACAAAGGGCATCAAATTCATGTTATACCTGAAAGATGTAACAATGTCTTCGTCTACAAGACCATTTGCTATTTAATGACATTATTTTAACTTATAATATATATAACATACAGCCCTAAGCTGGGGAGGATAATGGCTATTGAAAGCTTTTGAAATATAATAAAAATGTTGATCCAAACTGCTGTCAAAGGTCATCATTCTTCCATTTTGACCTTGTACTATCTGAAAGGGAAGTCTGGACTAAGTCTACTTTTTGTAGACTTGTGAAAATGGTGATAAAAATGGATGACCCCCAAAGGCCTGGTAATACTAGTAAAATACAAAACTCGACTCCAGCTGTCTTAAGTTTTTTAACAAAGTGTGAACATATATCTCTGCAATGCTACTCTTGTCTGTGTGAATCATCATGCCTTACTTAAACTTTCCTTGCCCATCAACAGTAACAACCTAATAGAAAACAACCTAATTAACTCTTGTGTCTCACCATTTGTTACCAACAAAAACGCCGTTTGCATACATTAATGAAGTTGTAACCAATAGGAACACGTGATCTAAATTTCAAAGACATCATTTTATACATGCATGTCATTGAAACACAACAAATGTATATTCATGAGGTCTTATCTAAACCTAAATTACAAACATGCTACTTTAAAGTAAAGTAAAAAAATAAACTAGGTTATTTTATTGCTTCTGTGCATTTTACGCCCTCCCCGAAGCCACAGAAACATCCAAATGCGACGGTACACCAATTTACAATTGCATGTTTTAAATAAACAACATCACAATAAATGATAAACTAAACTAATAAATGAATACACCATATGCTTATATTTAAAAAATCAAATCAATGGTACGGCTGCTTCACCCGGCACTCTTTCACTTATTGGATATCGGTAGACGAATCCGTTTTCAAGACTATTACTTCAACATCCGTATACCGCGTCCAAGGGTCGTTATGTATGGACAGAAATACCATACTGAGTCTAATTAATTAATTTAATTTTTATCAAATAATTTGCTACTAATGATAGTGATAACTATGATAACAAAAAAGTATAATTAATTGCAGCGCAAAGTTGATTTTTGAACAGGGGACTACCAAACACAAAGTTCACTGTGTATTGAACTTTGTATTTATTTTATAAAATTTCTCTAGAAGAGCAAAAAAGGTTATTTCCAGCTCACCATACCTATAGGGATCAACAATGGTACGTGCAGTACACTGAGAATAAAATTGGAGTCATTTGACTCTCTAGTCAGAGTCCAGCACCCCTTGACCCTAATGGAGTTAATTTGACTCCTTTATAAGGGTTAAATTACCCCACTACCAGAATCTTTAGACCCTCTTATCAGAGTCAATCACTGACTGGCTCTCCTGGAGTCAATCTGAGTCTAAAATCAGAGTCAGACGGCGTGGAGAGAACAGTTTTCATCATCCTTTGTCACTATAAACTTTACTTCATTGGCCAAAGTTGGTTTTATGCATGAACAAGTGGTTTTTTGTGTGTTTCTGCATACAGAACTCGTGCACTTATGACTGGCCCGGGCTTTCAGTTGCCCACACCCTTTATGTGATATGTTGGTATACAGGTCAGCAGGTTTTGTTTCTAGGTTGTAGGTTTGATCCGCCAATGCATGTCTCTGGGGAGGTATGCTCATATATATATATATAATGCTGTCTCTTACCAGATTTACAAACTAATTGTTATTGCTCTGCCAACACCGTATTCGACCGGATGGCCTTGTGGTTAGTGTGTCCGCCTTCGCAGGACGTGGGTTCGAACCCTATCGGGGACATACCGGCCTGTAATACATGGTACCTGCTGTCTCCCCGCTTGGGACAGTTGTTGATGTCTTTTTTTATAATGAGCCAAGGAATCAAAAATTCCTTAATATGGGGTCATGGTGACTCTTTTGTAGAGATAAATCAAGGGATGAAGGGATGTGTGAATGGAGTCCCTCCTTTGGGGTCAGGGATGGCGTTACTCCATCGGAGTCAACTAGACTCCAATTGGGATATATTTTAGGCACCACTGCTGGACTCCAAGTTTGGAGTCACTTGGACTCCGATTTTAGTCTCAGTGTATGACAACATTGTATGAGCTTACAAATTAATAAAACTGTGAAATCGTACCTCTAGTGTATAAGCGGAATCATCGTTCGATATTGCCCGTTTTGTCAAACTGTTCTGAAAAAGATTTCAGAAAGCTGTCGTCCCAATGAAAATGTCCCGCAATGACCAAACAAGGAACAAAACAAGGCGAGATGATAGGTGACCTATTTTACTCCCTTAATTACAAGGGACGTACTCAGATATTTTGGGAGCAAATTAAGAAGCCAAAACTCGGGGGGGGGGGGGGGGGGACTTATTTTGTCAGGACAAGTAAGACTAAGGATTTTGACATGCTTTTTTTATCGCCTTATATGAAATTCAATCATGGTGCTGATACACCATTCACCGCAAATCATATACGAGAGAGCACTTTTTCGAAATTCCCTAACCTTTCAATCCCTCATACTAACATTTTACTGGTATTTCTACGTTGTTCTCTAACGATGCTGACCTTTAATCTACAATGACTAAAATGAAGCCATGAACACAGATTAAAGTTTTTGTTTATGTAAAAACAACAATACCTCTACAAATGACAGTTTAGAAAAAGGAAAAGTTTTAACCTGGAAACTTGCCCCTTACCTCAGCGGAGTCTCCTCGTCCAGTCTTCTGATTGATTACCAAAGATAACATCAATTTATATACACGATCTTAATTACGTAAGTGGGTGTAATGTCGGCCTTACGACTGAAAAACAACTTCGAATTTGAATGAAAAAGCCATGGTTTTATTCATAAGCACCTCCCTCCCTTTAACAAAACGAGATTTATTCAATTTATGAACCGATGTTTTAACCAAACTTTTTAAGTATGTAAACGTAAATTTAATAGATGCCAAAAAAAAAGCAATGTACCCTGCTGGGATCCAGTTTTCTAAATAAAAAAGGGGAAATTGTTTATCCGTTTCTTGCTTGACCGTCAGTCTTTTGAGACTGATGGCGTCCAGATACAAAATCTAATGTCTGACAATCAAATGGCCATTGACTCTCGCCTCGCAGAAAATATGCATTCATGTTCTGTCGACAGTTATGTGTGGTATTTAAACTAAAAAATAAAACTTTAAAATGCAGAAATAAATCTATGGTGTTTATTGTTATCTGCAAACCAAACGAAAGTTAAACATATTTTGATAAATCAATGCCATTTAACTTTTGAACAGACAGTGAGAATTTGTGGGAATACTGCAGATTTTGTCGCTGTGACAAAATATGGCGCAAGGGAAGGCAAAACTTTCTACAAAGATCTGCAGTCTCCAATTAAGAAAAAAATTCCCTTGAGTTCTGGGATTCCGGTGTAACGAAACTGAGGGTCCGTGTGACAGAAAGTCCGCCTTTCAAATAGTTATAATGGTTAGGGTTAGTTTGATCTAAGTAGGTCAAAATCTGGGGCGAGGCTCACCTGTACAAATTAATGGAAGGCGGACTGTCTGTCATGGTGGACCTTCTGCTACATGAAACCGGGTAAAATTAAAATTTGATTGGATGGGCAAGATAGGACGTGTGCTGGTAGATTCCACAGCCAGCTGATAGTTACAGGAGATGATAGTACAAGGCTGCTTTCAACTTGAGCGTAACTCAGGGTACAATTACAGTTAGTAATTTGATAAGTTCTATAATGCTCGTTTAAGCCGACCAGAGAATACCAATCAAGGTAAAAAGTTTTAGATAAGCGTCTTCGCAACAAACACCATACATAAATCTCATCTTCCAATGAGATTTATTGTCTTTTAATGTCCACATTTTAATGAATGACTATTTAATAAGAGAATCCCACACAAGCATGTTGCTGATCTGAATACTAAGGGCTATGGCATTATAAATATATCATATTTTTAGGTTAGGAAAAAGGAGTCTTGGCAATCATGTGGCAGGCACAAGGATAAGAAATATAAAGTTTAGCCCAGTTTCCTTTGTTTTATAATGTTTTTGTGTTGGAGGAATGATGGAAGGGGTGCCTTCAATAAGGGATGTACGTGGGCTGCTGTGTTTTTACCCACCAGGTACCGCTACTGAGTGGCGATTAAATTTGCCTCTTTATATATATATATATATATATATATATATATATATATATATATATATATATATATATATATATATATGGGCATATCAGATTGTATACTTGCTAAAATTGCACATGACAAGAATTTACAACCTCGCAGGAAATTTTCGCCATGACTTTGTCGTGCTGTTGGTAGAAGACTAGCTGACTGAAAAGAAGCACAATTTTGCACCTTCAAGCTTCGTGACACGGATTCATATCATATATACCTATATTTCTACGAGGTATCCTCTGCTCAATTTGTCTAAAAAAAAAAATAAATGAAAAAATAAATGAAACCATGTCGTTGAAAAATACCCTTCAACTTCGCACTGACTGTTCCATTCCCGTGTACTTCCAGCTAAAAATGACCAGGCAGCTCCACGTTTTACACCATTCGAATTTTAATCCTGTCTCCTCCGGTACCCTTTATTGTTATTTCCTGTGATGCAAGAGCCCTCGGCTATTTTGTCCCTTTTGCCAGGCATTCTCTGTCAAGTGGCTCATTGTAGCGGCATTTTAAAAATAATAAGAAAAACGTGTTTTGGGGCTTTATAGAATATTATTATTATTATTATTATTATTATTATTATTATTATTATTATTATTATTATTTACGTATGACGGAAGTCACTACCCTCTGTAGTGAAGTGCAACTTTAGGCACAGATCTGCACTAGCGTTAATTTTTTTTTTTTCTAAGGAGGGGGACTGAAGGGTCAAAATGCCAAGCAATGGCAGCTATGGTAGTGTGATGTGAAGTTTGCTGATCAAGTACTGGCGGAAATTGTGGGCCAGAATTAATTTAGGTTGTCCGAAGAGTACTAGTAAAGAAACAAAAGATACTGAGGGATATCAACAGTGAAAACACAAAAATGTAGAAGGCAACCATGAAAGGTCTTGCGATTTGACTAGTCAATTCTGTCAGAAATAGCTTGCCTAGGAAGACTTAAACAATAATAAATAAATAAATAAATAAATAAATAAATAAATAATATCTCACTAACAAAACTTTTAACAGACAAATTACATTTGTTGTTATTGGGGATGCCCCGAAAAAAGAATGTCATTGCCTTGAACTAAATATAGGTATATATAACGGGGGATTCTCCCTGGCCCACAATGCATTGGATGACGTCATTACCTTTCGAGGAATCCCCTATCTGAAATTTGCCGGGTGATAAGTTTTCTGGAATCTGAAGAGAAAGAGAACACCAATATTGCAACAGCATAAAGGGAATAATCAAATCTATGATACTGCGTACTCTGAGGTCTACTCAATGGTTGAAGGACTTTCCTAAATTTCGTATTTCTTGCATTTTCCAGCTGCAACACAAAATGGCGGGAACGCAGGCTGGTTCGGATAACAATACCAAAGACAGCCCTGAAGAGTCCAACAAAATATTCTGCTTTGAACTCAAAGGCGGGCCATTTTATTTCACCTTACAGAATGCTAGCGAGATAGGCTCCAAGCGCCAGAAATTTCACTATCCACAGGAGCTTCAAAACTGTAAGGAAGTTTTAGGAATGTCATCTTTCGCCGTCAGCACTGATGGGAAAAATGCAACAAATGGCTTACACTCGATCAAATCTTCAGTGGTTCATAATATGATCAGGCATTACAGCATGCGAGATCGCTTGAAGACGATGGAAAATAACTCCTCGTTTTTAATGGACAAACGTTGCGCTGTGATCCCTACACTGACCCTTGACAAGAATGTCGAAGGTGATGATCGATTTTGCAGAGGTTTTGCCATCCTGGTCAATGAGAAGGGTTTTCCTGAGGATTCAGTAAAAGACGCCGTTAAAGAGGGCATAGCGGAATTTGATTGCCTTTCTTTTAACAGGTACCGGTAGTACACCCTTTTATGTATACTATATATATGAATTGTGTGAATCATTTGCTTTATAAATATGTTTGTTTACAGATATATGCCCTATACTAGTAGGTCAATGTGTCAAAAGCATTATAAATTCTTTTATCAGTTATACATGGGTAGAAAAAGGTCCCCACTGGTTTTATCCCTGAGTCATGTAAAGGGTTAGAAAGCTTGACTTTTTCAGAACCCCCACCCCCCTTTTAATTGCTGAGTGCAGGCCTGGTAACTATTTGTCTGTTTGTTATCCTTATTTAATATAATTTTATTATTATTTTTCATTTATTATTTATATTTATTTGTGCATTATTAATATTTTTATTATTATTACTTAATTTTATTTCAGATTTGTCAATGAAGGTGATCAGATAGTTCATCACCCAGACACTGGTGTTGATAATGAAGAGACCTCCTCAGTGGTGGTCCCAGTGCCACGCCCACACATCCACCCAGCATTTCTAGACAGGGAGACCATTGGTGTGTTTCACAGCTATGAGAGGTCTGTCCGGATATTAAATGAGGTATTTAAAATAGATATTTTTTTAGACAAGTTATTGAGCATTAAACAAAATATTAGGAGGTGCAGCGAGAATTAACCCCATAGCGCCGGGAACCGCACATATGCGGTTCATTTTAAAAAGTCCTCAGTNCTTTGCTGCCTTGTTTAAATCTAATCTTGCTACACTATGTTAAATCAGTACCTGAACAGATGACGGCATCATCCAGTAGGCTGGGACATCTGTCACAGATGCCTCCTTTCTGACCTTGGTCCAGGCTTCAACGGCAAACAACACGGCAGATATGTGGCTACATGCCTCACCAAGCCCAGCCATACATGTGCAATGTGCACTGTTGATTCCACCAGAACTGATAATGATCCAGGGCTCAAGGGGTTTTTCTCTGATACGCATGGAGTGGTTAACCTTAAATAAAGGAACATTTTCATTAATATCTACCATATATTGTCATTAAAATGATGTCAACTATATAATCTTTATTTTTCATTTTAAGCTGATAATAAATGATTAGTACAAACCTGAACTAAGTATGTACTAGTATATGTCTTTGATGTACTTACATCATTACAAACCAATATAAAAATTAATATATCTCTGACATTAAAATGAAGAACATGGCTTAATTTAAATTAGACAATAATTGAATAAAGGCTTCAGGCGAGCAGGAATTATATTCATTTTTTCTTTACTTTGAAATATACACCCAAACAATGTTTATTGTATCACATTTACAATTTATGCCTGTGGTTACAGTAGTGTTTATGGCCATGCATTGTAAATCTGCCACAAAAGCAACAGATTCCACACACAAACAAGACTTAAATTCAACCTAAAAACGATTAATATCGTTGTTTTTAGAGTCTAAAAACCAGCTTACCTTTGCTTTTAGCAGATGGCATGAATTCAACTCCATGTGCAGAATTTCTTTTATCCAGCCATCCTGGAATAACCGATAGGCTTCTAGAGCTTTGTAGCTTCTCAACTGGTCTGATGAGTAAAACGACTTCCGAAGAATAAGGAAATCAAAAAGGTCAACGCTATTTACGTGTGGCCAGAATTTCTTGTCCTTCGTAAAATCTTTCTTCTCAATCTCATACGGATCCTTTCCGATATCAACAATTTTCTCCTCGTACCTCCGTCTAACATCCCCCTCCAACAATTCTCTGTACGAGTCCTTCATAACAAAGTCAACAAAATCAAAACTCAACAACAAACTCAACAAATATAACGATAACAACAATATAAGTGGTTCTCTGACTCCTCTGTACGTGTTCATAAATATGGCGGCACTTTAACTGACGCCGGCTGGTACACACAAATCGATGACGTACAATGACGTCAAGGAAAGCAAAGGATTTCTACAGAAACAACATCATCACCTTTAACTAATGCACAAGATACTAACACTTGTCTATCAACACAAGGTTCTATCACATACTCTTTCTTTTTCTCTAACTCATAATCTGCACAAACAGAAATTCTCATCACCGTCAATGGAGGAAGTACTATTCTCTTTTTCGTTCTCACCATATTTTCACAAATTTCAACTTCTTTCTCCATTCCATCAACACATTTCTCATCACTTTTAGCTTCTGTCTCACCATTCACTTTACTCAAATCAGAGTCACCTTCAACTTCTATGCTTCCTTGTACACATTTTTCTCCAATGATCAAAGTTTGATCAACTAAATTCACCACAAAATTTCTCTCCTTCAAAAACTTCAATCCCAACAACATATCAATTCCTTCTTGCAAATCTGCAACATACACATTTTCCTTATATTCTATCCCATCAATCTCAATACTCAAATTATCTACTCTATGACCCATCATAAATGTATTTTTTCCAGCAAGCATTAATTTCAGAGTCTCACAAAACTCAGGCACACCCTGCAATTTACTATAAAATCTTTTATTTACGATAGTAAATTGAGCTGCCGTATCCACAACTGCTAATGTTTTCACACCATTCACACTAACAGGAATCACAAAATTTTCTCCTACTAATTCCCCAACATTCAACATTTTCACATTTCCACTATCCATAATCGGACCTTCAACATGAAGTAAGGGATCTGAAATCCGGTCAATCAATTCGTCCCTTTCTAGGTTACCGAATTTCTTGCACTGGGAGGAGGATTCTTTGGCATTTCTCTATTATGAGGGCAATTTGTTTGAATGTGACCTCTGTCCACATTTATGACAAATCAAAATAGAACTTGGACTGGCATTTTTACTAACATTGGGATTAGGTGGATATTCTACAATTTCATTCTTACAATCCCTTTGAACATGACCTCTTTCTCCACATTTAAAACATTGTGGTGGACCCCCTCTACTTTGATTTATGTTTCTATTCTGGGATGACTTTCCCATTCTACCAGAATGTCCTGAGAATTTGATGTTGACACCCATGCATCATTCATTCTTTTCATCTTATCACACATTGCAGACATGGTTCTTTGCATGTTGTAGAGTAATTGTACCACCAGCGTAGGCGCTGGTGGTACCCATGGTTTTAGTCCCGACCCGTATATTCCGCCGGCTCCGCCGCCAAGTCACCGTTACTGCTTCTCCTCCTAGACGGTAAGGGCCTCCGTACCCATCTCTTGGATTTAGGTCACCTATAATCTCAACTCGTTCCACGTAAAATTTGGGCTTTGTCGGTATTGGGGTCTAAGTGTGGCACTCATTGCAATGCACCCTTGTCCAAAAATGGCAAAATTAAATGCTAATTATCTACCCTACGGAAGGAATTATGGGAAAATTTTCTACAGACGGCTTTCCAAAAGTTATATGTGTAGATTTGAAATATGCCCTTGGATTTGACCTTTGACCTTTATTTCAAGTTCAAACGGGCCAAAATTTTCAAAAAAATGAAATTTTTTACGAAAAAAAAAATTATTTGCACTGTTATTCAGACACCACACAGACTTAACCAATAATATCATTGGAAAGTGTTACCCTTCGGTAATCTATCATCACCGTGAATTTGGGGTCAATTGGTGCATTTTCACAGGAGTAGCGGCCATAAGATACCGAAACTGAAAACTGTCTCTAATTCGGGAACCGTTAATGCTAGAGACCCATTTTTTTTTGCATTTTGTAGAACATGTAAAGCCCAACACTGGAAGTGGTCTCCGGTTTTTTTGTATTCCATACAGTTTTCGAGTTATGCTGTATCAAAAAGTACATATTGGTGGTGAAAGCAAAATGTGCAGTGCGGTAATGGATAATAAATTTTGAACCCCGGAAAAATAAAACATAAGGCTTGGCGAGGCAGACAAATTGTGGTCAAAAATGACATTATTTCATCAAGTTTGAACATCTGGAACTATAGAGCACCTCCCATTTCAAGAATTTTGACCAAAATGACCTTTTTCTTATTTTAATTTTTCTGTATGAAATTTATGGCACATTATAGTAACTCCAAAATTATAACATTTAGTCCCTTATATCTCCAAAACTGGCAGAGATAGGTCCACAGTTACTATTGAACATGAATAGGAAGTCATATACTGGCAATCTAAATGTGACCTTGAAATTGACCTTTGACCTACTTTACACCATAAACTGAACTTTGCAACTTTTTAATGCTTTTATTTTCAAAACTGGCAGAGATATGCCCATAGTTACTATTGAATTTGAATAGAAAGTCATTAGAGGCAATTTACTGTGACCTTAAAATTGACCTTTGACCTACTTTTAACCATGAACTGAACTTCGCAAATTTTGTTTCTCTTTATCTCCAAAACTAGCAGAGATAGGTCCATAGTAACTATTGAACTTGAATGGAAAGTCATATACTGGCAATCTAAATGTGACCTTGAAATTGACCTTTGACCTACTTTTTATCATGAATTGAACTTCGCAAATTTTGGTTCCTTTTTATCTGCAAGACTGGCAATGATATGTCCATAGTTATTATTGAATTTGAAAATGAAGTCATTAAAGTCAATTTACTGTGACCTTAAAATTGACCTTTGACCTACTTTTTACCATGAACTTAACATTGCAAATTTTGGTTCCCTTTTATCTCCAAAGCTGGCAAAAATACGCACATAGTAACTACTGGATTTGAATAGAAGTCATTAGAGACAATCCAAGTGTGACCTTGAAATTGACCTTTGACCTCATGAATTGAAGTTAACAAATTTTGGTTCCCTTTTATTTCCGAAACTGGCAGAGATAGGTCCATAGTTACTATTGAACTTGAATATGAAGTCATATACTGGCAATCTAAATGTGACCTTGAAATTGACCTTTGACCTACTTTACACCATAAACTGAACTTTGCAACTTTTT